CTCGCCGCCTTTTCTCTCCTGCGCGACGGGGAGCCGCCGCTGCAGCCCCTCGACGTCAAGCAGGAGGTGGCCGAGCAGAAGGCGGCACGCTCGCCTTGGAAGAGGAGCCGGGCGATGGGCGGGCTGCGCTCGTCAGCACCCACGGCCGCAACGGGATCGGGGAAAGGGAGCCGCGTTATCCTGTAGCGCTGTGCCTGGGCACGGTCTTTCTCTCCTCTTACTGGGTGTCATTGCAGGCTGGTGTGGCTGTGCAAGGGAAGCAAGGAGGAAAGTCTGCCTGCTTAGTAGACTCGTTTCCATCCCTGCCTCATCTGGGGATGAAAAGACTTCTTTCTTAATGGGAACAGAGCTGGATTACTCCGCTTTTTCCATCCCCCTTTATTTGGTAGTGGCAGCTAATGCATGCCTGTGTAGTAGCTACAATCGAAACGGGAAACCCAGTCAAAAAGAAAAAAATCCCGTATGTTCCTACACACGAACAGAACTATTGTCTTTAAGTCTGTATTTTAAATTTATGTAATCTTTTCTTCAAACAAAAATCTTTAGAGACCTCCCTAGCTAAGGCAGTTTCCTGTACTGTATTCAAGAAAATGGAAGAGAGCATGGCTTTTCAGATTGATAGAGGCAGGCCTCAGACAGTTAATGAAGAAGAGACAAGGAAAAAAAAGGCAAGATCTTGTGGATAAATTTCCACACCCACCGATAGATGTAGTGGTTAACCTACACAGTGAAAAACAGTTTAACGTACTTTTTTTTTGGGGGGGGGAGGGGGAGAACAACCAAAAAAACCCCACCTGAGCAAATGAACAAACAAAAAAAACCCAAACCAAAACCCACCAAAAAACCAAACAAAAAAACCCAAAACAACCAACAATCACTTTTGAAAAAAGAAAGGGCAAAAGAATAGTACAGTCAATAAAAATTTTTGAAGTTGTTAAAAAGTCTCATGGTAAAAGAGCAAGAAGAAGTATCTGAAACCGTAAATTCTTCTTCCATTTTAGATGCTTGTAATGCTATTATTCAAGTAGAATACCCTTGTA